CTACCAGGATGATGAAGATGAAATGTGGCTGGAGATTTCAGCAAGACAAAGCCAAGGAAACTCAGTTGGTTTCAGAGAAAGAAACTAAAGCTGCTGGAATGGCCCAGCCAATCACCTGACCTGAATCCAACAGAAAATCTATGGAAAGAACTAAAGATCAGAGTTCATAGAAGAGGCCCACGAAACCTTCAACACGTGCGGGCGCGCACGTGTTTGTGGTGAAGGGAGGGTGTGAGGGCAATATTATTAATAATAATATTAATACTGTTGCCATTACAGTTGTATACACTAAATAAGAAGTGCAACCAAGGGCGACAGATGGAGCATAAAAAAAAGGCGGGTGCGACCGTGGCACTTGATGGTCTGCAGGGAAAAGGGCAGGTGCTCAAGCACCACCTGATGTCTATCTGTGCACGTCCCTGACAGGTACCATCCATATAGTTTTTTTTATTAACATATGAAATTTTTTACACTTTCATTTTACACTTGGTGCCCCATACACATGTGCCTCCTCTGCATGTATGGGCTAGAAACTTCAAATGAATAAATTTTGCTAGAGGAGGGCAACCAATTGTCGCCTCATCCTAAGTTTCATAGGAAATGAATGGGGAGGGAGCGACGTTGCCTCCCATGCCCCAAGCTCAAAACGTGTTCCAACAGGTGATTTGTATGTTTAAAATGTACGTTTGGTCCAATTTTCCCATTATAAAATGCAAATGTGATTAATTTGCTTCAATGGCATCCTCTTTAGCATGTAGGGTTTCCTGTTAAATTTGTAAATAGCACTGTGTGATCAATCAGAAGCAACAAAACCACAACGGTCTCAGTCAACCACCTCTTCAAAAGAGCTGCAGCCGGCATGCACAGGCTGAGTGGTGATGGGGGGAGGGGGGAGTTCAAGTTTTCAATTTTGACTTCTGAGAAGTCAGGAGGGATGGACTGATGGCAGTGTGTCAAAAGACATTTGCTTCGTTGCTTCAAAAATAGTTTTGAAACTGTGCACACGTACAACAGAAGGTGATTTTTTTTTTAAAAACTGGCTGCTCAAAATTGGTCACTTGGCTGCAAACAAAGTTAAGTGACACTTCAGCTGAAAGTTCGCGTAATCTCACACCATTGTACCACAGTTTTTGAGCCTTCTTTTTTTAACCTACAGTACTTCTCCTAATACTGTAGTTGCTGCTCATCCCTTCTGGTACTTACTGTACAAGCTCATATTTATCCATAATCCAATCCTACAGTTTTTAATGTTGTTTCCTATTGTGTCCCCAGCTTTGTTTGACTTATGCGCCCCAACTTTTTACCCTTTGTAATATTTTTTTTCCTCCTTAACCACAGAGACAACTGCTCTTCTTTTACTTTTTCATGAAAAAAAAACAGGCAGAGGGGTGGAGTACAGCAGGTCTAGGGAGAAAGGGTGAGGAATGGAATTTCACCCTCATGCGCAGAGTGCAATATGACATGTCCCTATGATGATGTCCCTCATTAAAAATTAAACAGTTTTTAAAACAAATGGCTTGTCAAGCTCCAGATCCCTTGAAAGAGCCATTCATCTCATTTCTACTTTTCTTTAATAAAGTCTAGTTTTCATTTTATTCATCAGTTTCTCTGCTTGCATGTGAGGTCCTAAATGCACACAACTTGACACAGTTTGGATCGATGAGGCTGGGAACAAAGTGGATCCAGTCCCAGAAATGTCATGGCAACTAAGTGTAATATATGACTGACAGAACATGTTGGTAAATTTAGAACAGAAAAAACAAATGATTTAAGTTTAAAGTGAAGCTCTCTGTGAAAAGTGAAATATCCACAGGGAAACGCTTGTGTGTTAAGTGAGAAAACAAGTGTCCTGCTTTGCGACTCACTGACAAGTGTTGCTAATAAAACCCACTTCATCTGAACACAGAATGGAACTGCATCAGAATGCTGCATGTTCCTGTCAACATTTTGAAAAATGCTATTCAACTTAAGCTATGAAAGGTTCATCTTCACCCAGAGAAAGTCAATAACTTCCTATAAACCGTGCTGTTTTGGTACAGCTCTCAGTTCATGGTGCGCTAATGACTGTTTCGGTGGTATCACTTCTCGTGCGAAACCTCCCATGCATCACTTTGCATTCTGCAGATATGGTCAAATTTACCTTTGCATATATATCTGAGCTTGCAAAATGTGGACTTGTGGTTCAGTATATGCAGACGATGTGGTTTTGTTTTTTTGTTTTATTTTAAATGTTTCATGAGCATCATGAGGAAATATCTAACCAAGAGCTGTCATGTGAAAGCCCACCTGCCACTTTGGGGTTTGGGGAGTGGAAAACTCTGAGAGCAGCACTTTTTTCACTTCACTGCAACAAACACAAAAGTGACATTGCTTCTCTTATCGATTAGTCTGTCTGCCCAGATACCATCTAAGCCAGAATGAACTTCACCACCAGCCACCCAGTCACCTACAATGACAGGTAGGAGTTTTCCCATCTTACAGATATGCTTTTAAGTTATTCAGTTTCAGACAAATAACAAAGCATTGTTTCAACCCAAGAACACAAAATACATTTAAGCAGAAAAGAGCCACAAAATTTAACTAAAGTCAAGGGCAGCAATAATTTGCAGTTTAGATACTATATTGAACTGATTTAAACATATTTTGAAGTCAAATGTTTTGCACTATGAGTAATGTATGCTTTTTAAGTTATTGGTAAATTTTAAACTAGTCTGACTTTCCTGTGCACTGACTCATAAGAAGTAAACAGCTCCGATATATTACAAATTTACCGTATTGACCAAACCACTGGCCTGGATCTATTCAGTTTAACATTTAAAATGATTTAAAAAAAAATCCTAAAAGAGATGTGGGAAAAAAATTGAACTGTAGAGATTTGTCTATCAAAACCTCTTTTTTTAAAAAAATATTGCTTCCAGTGAATCATTTCTGGGCCTCTCAGTTCTATCAGGTACAAATGTATGCAAAATCTTATGTGCTATGTATTTTAAAGCAGTAAAAGAACTGTAAACTAATGAATGCACAAATTTGTAAGTCATTTTCTTGATTTACAATTTAAGCCTCACAGAACTTTGTAAAACTCAGTTGGTAAGAAATTTGCTCCACTTGAGCGACAATCTTTATAATAAGTTTTGAAATAAATATTCATAAAAAAAACAAAGTGCTAGCATGAAACAAGTCTTTGTTGTATAATTGTTTCTGTTTTTAATCATGTCTACTTGCCAAATAAAGACTAGCAGGTTGTAGATGTGATGCAGTTCTGAGTCTTTTAAGCATCCGAACGCTAGAAGTCAGATCTTTGCAAAAGGTTAAACAGAGACACAATCAGGAGACACTTTTTAAGTTTGATGTTCGCAGGCCAAAATGTATTAAAAGTTCAAATAAATTAAGAAATACGTATGTGCAAGTTACGGTTTGCATCCTTTTAAACTACAAAAAAAAAAAAAAAAAGACAAAAATGTAAACTGTGGCTGTATTGGACAAATGCAGGTGCCAGTAATCCACATCAAAGGTCCACAGAGAGCGCCCCTCTTTCTGGGCACGGGGTTATATAAACTCCTGTTTATGATTATGCAAAAAGAGAAAACTTACAAACTCCTTTTTATGATTATAACTGTGATGACAATCTGAAATACACCTACAGTATGTTTGATTATGCAATAAAGGATAATGTTACAGTTGCTCCTTTTCGTTTTCGTAATAAAATAAAATAAAAAATAAAAACTGATATTTTAAAGACAAACAGGCCATTTAAGTTCTGCATTTTTTTCTGGGCCAACTCTTGCCTCCAGTCTTTGATTAGTTGAAACTGCTGGACTTCAGGATATATATGGCTCCTGGATAAACTCAGTCGTGCAGCAGAGGGTTTGGTGTCATGATTGATAGGAATGCAGGGATGTTCTCATCCAGAGGGAGTTATAGTCATTTACAAAAATCCTTTGTGATGCAGTTTAGGGTCGAGTCAGGGTCCGGTACGCTCCATGGGCAGCACCACCAGGTTGATCTAGGACTGGTCTCCGACACCTCTCATAAGCAGACTTATTGGGGGGGGGGGGGCTTTCAAAGTTTCCTTTTTATGGTCTCTTTTCAGGGATATTTCAGAAGTATCAAGTGGGCTGAACAATTAGTCTCTTAGACAACCTGTTGTGCAGAGCCCTTTGAACAACTCCAGTTTAGAGGGGAAAAACGGTTTGGAGTTGTTTTAAGGCAACAGGAATCTACTATGCAAGTTTTTCAATCTGGTTAGAAATACATTTTATTCCTCTAAACTGAAAATGTCTGAGGAGATTTCTACAAGAAGTAAAATGTTAACTGTTCACAAGCTTTTCACGGAACCTCACTTAGAGCTGAACTGTTAAATCTCAAATTAAAGCCAGAATCTAGCTTATTTAAATCCAACAGGAAGTTCCTGGAAGTGTCTGTGGCCCTTTAAAGAATGCCTTTTTCTGTAAAGGGTGTGCACAGCTAGTGTTATTCTTCATCTCAACTGAACATGGCAGTGACTTCTACAGCTATCACAGATTTCAGTTTTAATCCGTCTGTGCAAGGGTAAGAAAACAGTAGAGGCACCTTCACATCTGTTGTTTGTCCTTTGTATAATAAGTCTGAAAGTCTGAGCCACATCTTTGTTCATTATCTGTTTGTTTTAGTTTCACTCAAGGTTTATGTTGGCAACTGGTCTTTCTCTTTCTTTCTTGCTGTTGAAAACATTCGTTGACTGTCAGACGTACTTTGCGGTCCAACTTTTGCGACTCTAAAGACTGTTTCTGCTCAGCTGAGGGTGATTTTATGTCATTACTTCCAACTTTGGCAGCAAGATTTAAAAAAATACTGCCAAGTGGAATCTCACTGATGGGGCGGATCGAGCATTGTCAGATAAATATGCTTCTACATTTCCATAAAAAATGTGGGCCACAGGGCTTGGGCTGAAAGTAGCTGATCCTTGCACAGCTGCAAACCCGCTCCAGCTGTTTGTGTCAGCTGCAGCAAGAAGAGCAGATTGAAGTAGTTTATGCAGTTTTTGTAATGGTTTTAGACTTGAAATGTAGGTCTTTTTAAGTAGGACTTTTCTTGATTATTTACAATTCATTTATGCTCAGTTGTAGAACATCCAGTGACTGATTTTAAAAATTTTATAAGCATCCATCCTGTTGTTAAGGAGATATTTTTGCTAACAGACCAAACAGAGTTTACTCCAAAACTTAATGCTGAAGTTTCAGGCAGAGATCCTGCGTAATGAGTCACACTTCAAGCATGTGCTGTGAGTGACTCTGAGCTACAGCTGCACCAAATCGTAGCATGATAATTGTGAAATGCATTAAGTTATAGACAATTTTGCGTTTTTCCAAGATCGGTTGGTTGTGATGGCCAGTTTAAATTGAGTACCATACCGTACCGTACCGTACCGTACCGTACCGTACCGTACCGTACCACTTTTATTTATAAAGCACTTTAAACAGCACAAGACCAACCAAAGTCCTGTACAGTAGACAGGCACAACAGGACATAGGCACAATACAGATAAAAATATGGAGCATTTATATTTACAGTACACATAGAACAGAGTTATGATACACGGTGAGGTTTAGCACCATCTCACTCAGACTCAAAGGCAAGGGAGAAGTAGTGTGTGTTTTAAGCGAGACTTGAAGACAGCGAGGGAAGGAGACTGTCTGACCTGTAGTGGTGGATCATTCCACAGTTTTGGGCCTGCTACAGAAAAGGATCTGTCAAATCTCAGTTTAAGACAAGAGTTAGGGACCTTCAGAGTAGACTCCATAAGTTAATCAGCCCCACGGATACATACACCCAGGGATTATTTGCTGAAAACCTCACTATGGTTCATGAGATATTCTGGTAACAGAGAAGGCTCTGCTTTTGTCTTTCAGCCATAATACCATACTGATTGAAAAAAAAAAGCCAGGAGTTTAGTAAACGTTGTAACAAGGTTTCATTTATTGTACTTCTGTTTCAATGATCGGTGGTATTATATTGGTAGTTTATTCTAAATTGTAAAAATAATAATAATAATAAATGTTGGAAACTTGCTAATCATATCCTTCTCTTTCTTACCAGCTTTTCTACAGTGGACAACATTAGCAGCACCACTGAGTACTACGACTACTTTGACTACGAGTCTACTGGAGTTGGTGACCTGTGTTACTATGAGCGATTTGACGCCCATTTCATTCCTCCTTTCTTTGTCGTTTTCTTCCTCCTGGGCCTTGTTGGGAACTCCCTGGTGATCTGGGTCATCGCTTGCGGAGTGCGACTCCGCACCATGACAGATGTGTGCCTGTTTAACTTGGCCCTCGCTGACCTCCTCCTGGTGTGCACCCTCCCCTTCCTGGCTCACCAGGCCAGGGACAGTTGGGTGTTTGGAGATGGGATGTGCAAGCTGGTCCTGGGTGTATATTACATCGTCTTTTACTGTGGAATCTTTTTCATATGTCTGATGAGCGTTGACCGCTACTTGGCGATAGTTCACGCCGTTTATGCCCTAAAGGCGCGGACGAAGTCCTTTGGTGTAACGGCAGCGGCTATCACATGGGTGTTGGGATTTATTGCCTCCTTTCCCGATTTAGTCTTCCTCAAACAGCAAACTTCTCTCAACGGCTCTGCATTCTGCTCACCTGACTTCCCCCGACAGGAGGGAAATTATTCCAGTCTTCACATGTGGATAGTCTTTGGTATCTTCAAAATGAACATTTTGGGTCTGTTCCTGCCGATTGTCATCATGGTTTTCTGCTACTCTCAGATCGTCTGGAGGCTGATGTTCAGCCACTCCTCCAGGAGGCAGGCCATCCGTTTAGTTTTCCTAGTGGTGGCGGTCTTTTTCTGCTGTTGGGTTCCTTACAACGTCTCAGCATTCTTCAAAGCTCTGGAGCATCTGGGGGTCTACACAGCGTGCGACAGCAGCAAGGCCATCAGAGTGTCTTTACAGGTCACCGAAGCCATCGCCTACTCTCACAGCTGCCTCAATCCATTCCTGTACGTGTTTGTCGGGGAGAAGTTCAGGAGGCAGCTGCTGAGGCTGATAAAAAGATCTCCATGCCATCTGTGTCAAGTCATCAAGTTGTACATACCCCAGGACATGTTGGCTACATCAGTGTACTCGCAAACCACCAGTGTGGACGAAAGAAGCACCAATGTGTGATCTGGGACTACGAAAGAGGCACTTCTTTGTTTTCTGTTTACCTATTCCTGAACCTTTGTGAACATGGTAAAATGAAGGAGAATTACTGCAATAAAAGCGGTTAATTCCAAGTCTAGTTAAACAGTGATAAAGGATTTGATTGTCCTGTATGTCTTTGGTTCAAAGGCTTGGGGTCAAGTGCCTGATTTTTTTGACCATTAAACTTTAAAGATATTTTTAGTTTTATATTCACTGCACTATACGTCAAATGCAACTATGTCTAAATCTGTTCATACATGTATGATCATATGAAACATATAGTACAAACAGTATGTGCAAGTATAATTGTTTTACATTTAACTTTACTTCTTCTTTTCAGTCACATGCCACCTTCATTCGCACAATGTGAAACTTTGTCACCAATAATAGCTGTTTACCAGCATCATCACTGTCATAAACCACAAGAAAATAAGTTGTGAAGTGGACTGATCAACTGCAGGCCCTTATTTTAATTAACATTACAACAGCAAATATTTGCTTTTTATTCGTGAACTCGGTAAGCACCTGTTTTTGCACCTGGTGTTGTTGCACAGCAAGAGGTTGCTGGTGCATTTTGCAGCAGTAGTTGAGTACGTTTTGAAATGTGTTTAGAAGAGGATTTGTGCCTCACCTCAGCCTTGAAAGAAAAAAAAAACCTGCAGTTTGAAAGAGGAAGCGTGAAACCTGGCTGCCACATAACCTTTGTAGTCCTTGTAAACATCCAAACATTTCACATTAGTTACTTGTTCTTGTTTTTTTCTAAATGAGCTATGCACAGTGAAAAATGAGTAATTGTCTTATTCAGTCATTGTGTTTAGATTCAGACAAACTGCTGCATTTAATTAATTTCTTTGAAGTTTAAATTCCGTTTTTGAGCAAATTAGCAAGAGCTTTAAAAAAAATCAAATAGAAGAACCTGTTGTTGACATATTCTGATAGTAAACGTGTTAACAACATGACATCATTCACACCTGAATTTAATTCTTCTATTTGACAAAAAGCTTTCACGGTGGGAGCAAAGATGCGTTCTGTAAAACCACAACGTCCCCTTTTCTCTCCCTGCATTTCCTTCCTGCTACCATCAGATGAACACAAAATACAAAAGCACTCTCAAAGTATTCAAATGCACTTCTTGTTTTTAAAGACACCCCCCCCCACACACACACACACACAGTCTGGTTTGTATATCCCAGTGGGGACTGTGCATTGACTTCCATTCATTTTTTGGAAATTTTGTATCTTAACCCTGACCATTTATCGTAAAATTAATCTCCCAGGTACCTACCTAACCCTAAAACTAACCTAAACTCAATTCACACCTCAGTCCTAAACCTAACTAGCCTGGCCCTTGCCTTCCTACGCAGCTCCGCTCATTTCTAGTTTCCCTTCACTGCTCCGTCTGGGACTTCTCCCATTGAGATGGATTTCGCTGGCAGATTTTTAGCCGGGCCAATCAGAGAACAGAACGTCAATTTCTGCGCAGTGTCTGCTTGTAGTTTATTTTACCTGGGCCAATCAGCAAACAGAAGGCTGAGTTTTGAATGACATCGATGTTCTGCGCAGTGTCTGCTATTTATTTTAGCCAATGGCAGTGGAGGAAGTGAATGAAACCAGTCCGTGTTGATAAGGCTTCCAAATTAAATTAAATTTGTCTGACAAAGCAGCAGCTCTCATTTACAGTCGTCTCGTTCAGCTCGGTACTTCGCTCCTCTCAGTAAGGTTGTTTACAGCACACGCGATCGCCAGTTAGCTTCTTAGCTTAGCCTCCGTCAAAGCGACATACCTCGCAGCCAACTGATCTAATCATTTTAAACTTCAGCAGAGGCCACGCCCCCTTTCAAGAATCACTTCTCTATGCATTAAGTCCAGACCCTTGTATGAAGCAAAGTGAAGGACGAGGGTCTGGTTTTAACTAAGCTAAAACCTAACCCCCCACCTGAAATTTGCATTTGGACCCGTGGGGCCTGGGCATTGGTCCCCACGATGCACATTCGGCCCCCACAAGGCTGCTTTTTCGGGAAAATTGTCCCCACAAAGTAGGAAAATGTTTTCTAACTTGAACATTCTTTGACACACCTCTGTAACCGTGGTTTGATTTGGCCACGAGTAAGAGATTGCATTAAAGTAATCAAATCACATTTTATGTTTTATAAAATTATATTTAAGCTTGTTTATTTTTTTAGTTCTGTGTATAATACTGTCTTTTATAAAAACGTGCATAAATAAAAATACATTTTCCTATTCTTTGTCACTTACATTTATTTATTTATTTATTTATTTATTTATTTATTTATTTATTTATTTATTTATTTATTTATTTGCAGAGACTCATTTAGACAGGGGGCAGCACTGATTCATCTAGTTACCTTGATTCATGCATGGATGCTTATAGTTATTAGCAATCAACAGATAGGGACTGAGAGGAAACCCTATGGTTTTGTTACTTAAATGCTTCCATATACATATTGCTCGTAAACAAAAAAAATGTTCTCATTGCATAGAAAATGTGCATTAAACAAGCTGCTGAGGAAGAGGTGAGAAAGGAGCACTGACAGGAGGCAGAGACAATAATGGCAGGTTTTGTCAGGTCTGAGTAAGTGAGATCATTTTTTAAACTCTTGTTCTTATCAGCCGTACAGATCCAAACAAAAGTGTTGTTTCTCAGGGAAAGGATTCTGCGCAACTATTTACCCAGCGTGTTGAAACAAAATCCTTTAAATGGTATAAATCCAGAGCTGTGTGCTCCGGAAGGGGATAATTCACATCTTCTGAAACAGAGCTCTAGGGAAAAGTTATTAACAATTAATATCTTACTTGTTGTAGAAATGTCTTAGAACAGCCTCGTTCTGTCAGTCTGACTGGATTGACAAGCCAACAGCTAGTCCAAAATAAATGCTAAAGTTCTGAAAGAAAAAAAAAACATTAAAAAACCACTGATGCAAAAAACATAAAACAAAAACCAAGTGATTCTTCCAGAGTGTCTCTTTGAGTGTAAAATCCCAGGTAAAACAATCCTACCCACATTTTTTATTTAACTCAATGCTCTTACATTTTGCTCATTTTTGCTAAATGTTAAATATATGTCAATATTAAATACTAAATCTAAACATGTAAATTTACATGTAAAAGTTAAATCTTAAATGTTGAAGTTTGCATTTAAGTATTTCAGACTCAAAAACTGCCTTTGGTGTTGGTGCACAGCTTTTGTTGTGCTGCCATCATCCTGCAACAAAAGCAAACGGTAACGTTGCTGAAGAAAGTATTTAAATTTTAAATTCAAAATGTGTTTACTGAAAACAGCATGGATGGCACCTGTGGTCCGGCTGTTTAAAGTGCAACTCGGACACTAGCTGCAGCTGCAGGTTTGATGTCTTGTAGTCTTAGCAGCATTAGCTTTTGTTGCAGAATGATGACGGCCTAACAAAAGCTGAGCACCAACAGCAAAGGCTGCAATCCATTTCAAAATACTTAAATGTAAACTTTAACAGTAAACTATACACATTTAGACATAACATTTGAATTAATAAACAGTGTTTATACAAGACCATGTTTCAGCTCTGCAGTCATTTTGACAACCGTCTTTCCAGCTGCTGACCCTATTAGCATGGAGATGCTGTAGCGTACCTTTCGAGCATAGCTCACTCACTTAGCTCGCTAGCTTTTTTGTTGGCAGTTGCACAAAAAAAACGATTAATTTTAATAATTTTAATTAGACAACTTCTCAAGACAAAGGGATATGTAGGTAAATGTGAAGATGTTTCACTTACTTCTCTCCTATTGTTGCCACACGTCATGTTGAGGTCTCAACTGTCTGAACTTCACGTGAATACAGTGTCGTTTGAATGGGTTGATGTGATTGGCTAATAATTAAGTAAATATTCCCTCATGGGGTACAGTTTTATAACTGCCTGAAGCAAGGAAGATATCTGATTAGTTGCAGTTTGTTTACAAAATAATAACCTGAAGAAAAAAAAACTGTTAAAAATAATGAAAATCAAGTAAAATCTCTGTGCTCATCAGAAATACTTCCTGTGCACATGTGAATTATCTGTGTACACTTGTGAATACTGCGACTCTTTTAGCTCCATACATTCTATTTTTTGTGTCACTTCAGTAGAAAATGAAACCAAATATTAGTTTATTTAGTTTATTTATTTCTTCATCATCAGTGACTTTTTTAAGTGAAGAGAAAATAGAGACAGAGAGAAAAACAGAGAGAGGTAATTAGAAAGATAGAAAGATTGAAACAGCGATTAGGATTATATTAAATA